GAACGCCTCGCTGGTCTGCACTGTCACTCGCGTTATGAATATGGTGACCTCTCATTTCTAACGCCTCTTATCGAATCTTATCAACTGATATCACTTCCCTGTCACCCACCAATAGTGTTCTCGTCACACCCCTACATCACTTCTTGGAAGCATGTCTCACTGCTACTGGGACTGCAGCTATGAATTTCGTGACAAACAGGCGGACGTCGCACACACAAGACATTACTTAGCAAATTATATATAGCAGGATAGGGTCGATCTGAGTCACTAAATAAATACATGCGCCTTCACTTGAGCTAGCGACCCGAATGATCGTTTCCAACAATTCCCGTACCAACAAACCTATCTCACAAAGGGAATGGGACATTTGATCGGTGGTAACATTCGAGCTCTCCGTGCGACACACTCTTTGACGTGTACAACAATGTGAAATTCTCCTTCTCAGTGCCACCTAAAATCCTGCAGTTATGCCTCTTCCGGGTTGTTAAGACTCATCCGGACTAATTCAACTTTACCCATTCTGATGTCACAACTGCAGTCCTTGATGATATGGCTCAGCCTTCTCACGGTTGAAAGTCTGTAGTAAGCAAGAGGGACCATATGTTGGTAGATAATGACTGATGTTCGGCTTTTCAACTCATTTTCCATTTTCATGAAAAAAATAACCTGCCACCGTTTGGCACATTTAGCGCATTCTACCACGCCCGAGGGAGGAGTGCCTGGCGAAGCCAGGTCGGCCCGGCGAAGCCGGGCCGTGAAACAGAAGGAGGAGCACCCGGCACCAGCCGGGTGATCCGACTGGTTCACCTTACAGCACTAGCCACGCGTCATTGGATTACCACGCTCACAGCTGTGAGGGCTACTTTTTGGAATGAAGTCTTGCAATGACCACAGAAATCCCGGAATTCCTCCAGCGGCCGGAAGCCTGTGAAGCATAACGAGAAAGCATTGAAAGTTTCCCTATGCATTGGTGGCGTAAGTCTGGAGAAAATTCCTGCGGCACTTAGAACGACTTATTGATGAGAATCATCAAAATACCTTTCAAGTGTTCTCACCTTTGATTCTTGAACACTGTTCGCTGGAGTTTCTGCGGACGGATACCCCAATGGTCGAGGTAACTGTTGAACTCTTTCACTCACTTTGGCTGACGCACACTGTTAAGTGGATCATGCATGGAACCCTTTGGAACCTACCACCGACAGGCTACTCATCTCTGAAGCTTGGACTCTGTTCCTTGCGACCCACCTCTTTTAGCACACACTGTTACCTGTCACCCATCATTAATGTTGCTACCATTAACCTTTATGATTCGGTGGTGTAAAGCTCCATTACCCTACAAAGAAAACTGGCCTCATCAGAACCAGGATTCGCTAATTTCTATCTATATGAGATTCTATCGTATTCCTGAAAAAAGAAAAAAATTGTTTATGGAGGTCAGCACTAAAAATAGATCGAGAGCCGTTGAAGTCGCCACAGTTCTAAAAGTCTGGGCTTGAGAAGCTGTCCGAAAGATGGGCACGTAGTTATCAATGGTGACCAGTTTATTGAGTGGAGGTCTCGTTCAATGAAAGAAAATTTTGTTTGGGATATTGTCCACTGAAGTGTCGCAGGACTTTTCGACCCTCTGATATGTAAAGTGATGTTTAGCGTTTGTCGTGACGGCGCTTCCTCGCTCAATCATAGTTGGCGTCTCACCCGCTCGTAGGGCTCCTCTGACCAATGGAGGGCCCGGATGGAGGTGGATCCGCACCCGGTACGTCACGTGCACGGGACTTGCGGAGCGTCGCATACGGTGTTGTCAAGCGGGTGTTGCTTTCTGTAAACTATAGGCTTCCCACTGAAAACTTCTCCCAACATGACTACGCCTTTGATGTCATAACCATTTGACTCGACCTTGCACCTGACATCCAATATTCATTGATAACTACAACAAGAAACAAAATGACACTACCAATTGATCAGCACGCTCACGAATGAATCTTTGGTCTTTAGTGCCACAATAAAAAATAACCACGAAATCACAGTAAGCAAATGAATATGAAGAAAGATGTGAGTAGAGCCCTAGCTTAAGAGGGCGAGCTCTGTCTACGCTTCTGAGGGTCACGAGGAAGCATCCCGACGCCGCTGACAGAGTAGAAGGGAGCGGAGCGAAGCAACCAGTTGGGACGACGATAGCATGAAGTAGACTGAGAAGCGGCTGTTGTCGTCCCCACCTCTGCGCCCGGCGGCGTCTGGAACGTTCTACTGCTCCCGCCAGGGCCGCCACTTACCATAAACGCGGCCCTTCAGAAGAGTCGTATGAATGGCACGATATTGCTGGTCAGAAATGCCGAAATTTCGCATTTAAGCCGGAATTGGGAATTCGCAATTCCCAATTCCGCGGCTTTTTTGAGTCGATACATGCTCGTAGTTTCGTTTTTGTTTCAAGGCTCTCATGTATGAATGTGGCCTTGTTCGAATTGGTAAATAAATGTAAAACAAATATAACGAAACTCATCTGTAACCACGAAAAGTAAACGCAAAGGGCACGAAGAAAATAACACGCAATGACAACAGTAACATATTTATAATAAAAAAAACTAGAAAAGAAACTAGAAAACCACCAAGAAACTAGAAAGCTAATCTAGAAAACCATCAAAAAATTAGAAAACTAATCTAGAAAGCCACTAGAAAAGAAACGGCTAGAAAAGACTAACTAATCAGAAGAGCTAGAAGTTGAAAATGGAAGAAACTGATCAGAAGAGCCAGAAGCCAGAAATAGAAGAAATAGCTTTTGAATATTAACTGCTCGCTGTCATTCAAAGGTGAGCGCGCTTTACACAGTGGTATTGGAGCGAGCTATTCCATGAGCCGGAAAGAAAATAAGAAGGAAAAGGAACTATGTGAAAAGAAAACAGAGGAAAATCACACTAACCACGGCTCTCGTCCAGACCTACTTGTTTTGCATATATGTATGGGCATAAATATCAACTCATAAAAGCGCCATTTATGGGCAAATTCAGAATGGTGACACTCCATGAGTTGGGCAAATTCAGAATGGTGACACTCCATGAGTCGCTTCTATCAATTATTACAACTTTCTGATATTAAGCAAAACCACTGCTGAAACATAGCCGTCGAGAGGTCTATCAACACCTTGGTCGCGAATATGTTCTTCACTTCCAGCTATGGTGAAGTTTATCGCCATTTTGGTGCCATCTTTACATTCGTTATGACGCTAACCGCCATCCTGGCCCGAATTTGCGTCAGCGCCAAAATTGAGTGTGAGAATCGTGATCAGGACCACAATCAGGATCTCACTGAGTACCACAAGACATCAAGAAAAAGGGTGCTCAACCAGATGACTCCTTCAAGTGATAATCGAACGGAAGGGAGCAAGGGGAATCAAGATCAAAAATGTGTGTGCGACTGAAACTAATCAAGAAGTAATGAGTGCGCAAATAAGGAGAATATCTGCTGAATATTGTAGACAAGAACGAGTTAAGAAAAACCGCGGGAGAAAGAGTACTTCACTACACCATCAGGAAAAGAGGCCGTGATTGAAAATGATGAGCGTGAAAAACAACGTCATGATAACAAAACAAATATAAAGGATTGAACTGAATAAATTAAGAATTCAAAAATACGAGAATCGAGCGGTAAAATTGATTGATAGAGCCATCTACCTTGCTACACCGCCCTTGCGCTTATGCTAATAGCATCCGCGGGGCGCGGTCGCGTGCAGCTGTCTTGGCTATACAAGTACAACGGAATTTCTTTATGCGGATAACATTTTAGGAGCAGCAAGATAAGAATCGAAGATGATGACAAGGGCTAGAACTCAAGAGCAACTGTGGTGCTTCTGCAATATCCCTCAGAGGCCGCGCAT